TCCCTGCCTTGTAAATAACTTAAGGCTTCAATACGTTTGCATAATTTCTTCTAGAGATTTTTAGTGTTTTTGTTTTATCAATTTCTTTAACATAATAAATTCTGATGTGAGTTAACATCGTGAGTGTCATGGCTATGAATGCAAATTAATCAGAATCTATTATTGTGTGGCTAGGTAATTTAAGATTATTACTACAGCTGCTGAGAGCATATGATTTTTATTTTAGATAAGAAATAATGAACTGTGTAGTCGTTTATATATCATTAAAAATGGAAGATAATCTTTTAGAAATTTAATATCTTACAATAATTTTCTCGAATACTTATCTAGCTTCCATTATGTCATATAAGAGGAATCTCTAACCACCATATAGTTTTATGATTTGGATTGGTCGTTTATATTCTCTTCTTCAAGAATTGTTGATTTAGTTAGGTCTATAAAATTTTCCTTATTAGTTCTTTCTAGAAAACATTGTCTAAAATGGTAACAGATAGTTATATTAGTTACTTGACCTTTCATCAATGTAAGTTGCTAAGAATTATATTGCCTTATGTGGTTTTTAAAAACCATCATCAATAGAGGGATATCTATGAATTAATTAAAGTTTTTAATTACTTTTAATTCTTTAGACACAAATTTTTTGGATATCAGCAACCTAAAATATTTTATACTGTAATAATTAGATTTCGTATTAAAAAATATTATTTTTAGAAGTGTCTTGTTGGGAGGGGGGGCATAAATTTTTTTTAGTTGAATCCCTTAAAGGCTAGCGACTTCCTTGGTTTCCGGGTTAGGTTTCATACATTTAAAAATAGAGATCCAGGTCTAACGGCCAAAGAGCTCGGTTACTAGCTTTATTTAAATAGGGAAAGCCGGGGTGCACTTGACTGAGTAACATTGTTAACGCGAATAACTTCTAAACCCTTGAGCATAATAAAGACTTTAAATTGGTGTGAGGATGTATTTTTATCAGGGATGTGAACCCTTCCGCAAAAAAACGGTCCGGGTTCGGGTACAGAAATAAAATTTAAAAAGGGTCCGAGGGAACATAAAAAAAATGACTCAAAATATGACTATTTTTTCATTCATTTATTATTATACTTCAATATATACATATTCATAATTTACAAATAAAAAATTTAAAAATGAAATAGTTTATAATTTAAATGTTTTATTCAATCGCACAATCATAATATCTTCTAAAATATCATCCTTGAGATTTCCGCATAAATTAGACAATATAAATTTCAAAGATGAAAATCCACATTCTACGCTTACCTAAAATAGATAGTTATCCTTATAATACATAAATTATTGTACTTGTGTCGCCGGTACAGCCATGATATTAGACAAAATATATAATTTTGGAAATATTGAAGAATTTTCTTTCCAGAATTTTAAAATATTTGCATCCTTAGTTATTTTCTTAATTTCGGAGAACTTTTCTATTAAAGATACAATAGGCATTTTTGATCCTCATTTCTATCTGATGATAATTTGATTTTTTTTTCTCCATCTAAATGTAAAATTTCAAGATCATCAATGTTGCTTTTATTATCATTATTATCACTACAACCAGTTGGTATTAGTAAATAATGGAATTTTGCGTATGCCATAAATCCTTAAGATGGTCTTTAGCCATTTGATTTTGCTCAATACTCAATAAAACTTGATATCGAGGGTCTAAATATATAGTAGCTTATACAACACTATTTTGCAAATATTGTTGCTCTCGAATTTTCATGTTTTGTAATATTTCATATGAAAAAGGACTAGTAAATCTTTCTAAATAATCGGCATTAATCCATATGCCATAAAAATCAGATAAACATAATTGTTCTGATTGAAATCTTAATATTTTTATTTTTAAAGGAACTAATACACTAGTAAGGTCCTTTATTTGGCACCAATCATCTTCCAACAAAATGACTTCACGTGCTCCTATAATAAAATAAGTACAGTAATCTTTCAAACTTAATAATCGTTCTAGCATCATACAATTGAGAGCTTACGTGTTGTGATCTAATATTGCCATTGACTTTTTCTATGATTTTAATATTCTTTGTGGAAGTTCTTAAATATTTTGCAACATCCCTTGCTTTATCAATGATAGTTTTAAAGTGATTATTTTTTAGGCAATCATTAATAGCCAATTGTAGAGTATGGGCTGCACATCTGATGCAATATATATTTCTCGGGAAACTATTAATAAATTTACATAAAATATTATTACCTACACTAGAAAATAATTTATGATATCAATTTCTAAATAAAATGGAGATCCAGAAAGAAAGATAAAATAAATGATTCCATGAAAAAAAGTTAATAAAATTTAAAAAAATTTATATTATTTTTTAAAAAATATTTTTATCTCTAAAATTTTTATGACACCTAGAACCCTTGGACCCACCACTTTTGAAAATGGTCCGGGTTCGGGTTCACATCCCTCATTTTTATATCTAATTTCTTACATATGTTTATCTTTAGAAATACTTTCCCGGTTTGAGATATTTTGTCAAAAAACCGGGTTTTCCCAAAAATGATAAAAATCACTCTAGTTTTTTTTGCTTTAAGATATATTAAGGTTCAGAATTTAAAAAATTTACATATACATCCCTTAAAGCCATAGCAATAATATAAAATTTATCGGAAATTTATAGCTTAATTAGAAGTCACGAAGTAACGATTTGTACACTATATATCACCTTGATAAAGTTGTTTTGGGGAAAAGGGTTAAAATGTTCCATATGATTTAAGCTGTAAAAAGTTAGTTTTTAAATATTAACGTCCCATATATAAAGATATTTTTGAGCAAATAATAACAATAAATAATTTCTGTGTTGTTTAGAAATTTTAAGAATAGTCGCCAAGTTAAAGAATAATTCAAATGTACGATAAGTCTATAATAGGCACATTCAAAATGTGCTCTCTTTATAACTTTTTACATTCCGGTATAGTACTGATTAGTTTTTACCTAAAGGTGATAAATAGATGTCAAAATTGCAATATTATGATAAATTAAAGAATAAAATTATAATTTAATTTTACACTGATGCCAAGTAGAGGTAGCGCGGGCGTAAAATTATGCGAGACACGATGAGTCACGGCGTGAGTGTGAATAAAATTTAAATTATTAGGCGTGACGAGCCTTAATTTTTTTTTGTAATTTTATCATTATAATATATATTTTCTAATTTAATCTAATTGATTTTGAAAAAGGAATAATTTTTAAAAATAAAATTAATTACGTATTTTATAAATAATATTTACCCCGCTCTTATAAAATTTCAGAATGAAATATAATTTAAAGTCTTTCAACTCTCGTTCAGCAATGGAAATTTGGTAATAAATTTAATGTAAATATGTTTAATTTTCATTTATCTTTACTATATACTAATCATATGCGCTCAAATTATAATCAGTCAATTAAATATCTATCTAAAAGGTGATTGATGCAATCGTCTTATACAAATACATGCTGTTTAAAATATAATGAAGGTAAAAGGATACAATGTTCAATATATTAAATAACATAATACATTATATTTTTGATAATTTCTTACCTGAAATAACTTAGTGAAATATTTTAAGCAATCTGCAAAACACCGCAAGCTAAGCCATTCAATTAAGTAAGATATAATAACAAGATGGAACTCTGTGTTAATTATGATACAAAGTGTCTTAAAATCATATGATGAAATACATGGTTACCTGCTTAACAAGCAAGAATTAAATAGATTTAGCGACCATCTATAAAAATATACACCAATTAGAAATTCCTTTATCACTATCAAAGAATGCTCAGATAATCTCTTTTGTGACGGCGTGATCTAAATATTGTTTTTTGTGAGCGGGTTGGTCTGATTAAAATTTTTTAGCAACAAGTTTGAAAGGGCGTAAATTTTTTGCCACCGTGAGCGGGCAAGCCGTGAATAAAATATTAGGCCCGCTCCCAACTCTAGTTTAAACACATTCATAGTAATTTATAAGTAATATAACTACTATTATAAAAGAAAATTAGGGCAAAGATTCGAAATAATGTACATTCAATTTTAAAATGGGAATTTGCTATACCACAAAGCTTACTTAATCCAAGTTAGAAGAAAACTATTTTATAAATATTGCCCTATTAGAACCTATTCTTTTTAAGACCAGACCGGGTTTTATTTTTGTAAAAAAAATAAATTCGCATTATTTAAGGCTTAAAAAAATGTAAATATAAACTTGAAGCTTCAAAACCGTATCAGCATCATATTTTAAAGTGTTATGGAGCAGAGACCTTCATGGACCTTAATTTTTTGACCAAGCCCGGCCCAGGCCCGCAGAAAATTTTTATGGCCCAAGCCCGGCCCGGCCCATATTTAATGTAAAAAAATTCCCAAGCCAGGCCCAAGCCCATAATACGTTTACAAAAATTTCCCAAGCCCGGCCCAATCGCATATACAAAAAATTTAATTTTTTTATATTTAATGAAAATTAACAATATTTAAATATATTTAGGCAATCATTTTGTTTGCAATACTGAAATTTATTATTATTAGAAGAAAAAAAGGCAATATTTCATAATTAGCAACTTTTAAATAATCTAAATTTAAATTTAATAATTTTAGACCCAAGCCCATTAAAAAATTTTTTTAAAACCCAGGCCCGGCCCAGACCCGCAAATATGATATTATAATGGGCCGGGTATGGGCATGTGGGCCGCGGGTCGGCCCGACCCATGAAGGTATCTGTTATGGAGGACATTAACATCCCAAATATGAAAATTAATATAATTTTTATGTTATTAAAAAAGAGTGTTATATAATATAAAAAAAATATATTTATTACCTATGTTACATATTATGTCAAACTTTCAAAAATTACGCTCTAAAATAATATAAATATACATTTTTTTAAACCGAACTTAAATCCTGGAGATCGAAATTTTCAAGCGATTATTTTCATGTAACACAAATATTAAATATTATATTTATGATTAATTAAAAGGTATAGACTGATTACAATCATAGTATAAATAAAGTATAGAAGTTATAAGGTCATTTTGATATACAAAAAAATACCTATATGTTTTATAAAAACTTATTCTATAAATGAAATATTTATACAAACAACTATAATAAAGCTGAAGCATCATCATTCGTTTTCGTAATAACGCCTTCCGCGGAATAAAATTGGATTGCGCATAGTAGCCTTTTTGTACTTTCCAAAATTTATATCCTTGGTAAAAATAATAATAATATATTAAAATATTTTTAACATCTCGACAAACTGAAGAAATAAGATGAAAATATCTTTTCACTATTGGACAAATTACATAATTTTGTGTTTGATTATCGAGAACTAGAGTACTAAATTAAAATCAAAGATTTTCAGAGTCCCTACTAAATTGATATAATGTTATATTATTACTTGGTACTCATTCCTTAACAGATCCAACCAATTATTATCATTCTCGTCGCTTCTCTTGAGACCCCAATTGGAAGAAAAATTTACCTATATGTAAATATTTAAAATGAATACATGTTATTAATAAAATTATAGGAAATATTTAAATTTGTAATATTTTAACCTTTACCAATTCCAGCAATATTTTAAAATATTTTTTTTAAATATTGGAATATTTACACCAGGGCTTGCTTTGAACCAGTTTTTAATCAAATTTGTTTCGTGTCCAAAACCAGATCAAAGTCGTGAATCGGTACGATTTAAGATAGGTTAGACAAAAACAGATTCGGTTTTGATGTAAAACCATGAATTAAATTTTTATCAAAATCTATATGCCGAAAATTAAAATATAATTTTTTTTTTATTAAATTAAATAATATTTATTAAGAGTATATAATATTTTCTTCAAGTTGGCCTTCTATATTTTTTTAAAAATACTTCTTTTTCGGTGTCAAAAAATTGAATAAGAAAATTTGAAAATTTTGATTTACTAATACAAGATTAATTTTCTATTTATGAATGAAGAGTTTTTATTTTCTGTTGGAATAAAGTTAATATTTTTTATTTCGTATTTTCATAAAAATTCCAAGTTTTGAGCATAAAAAGCGATTAGAAAATAAATAAAAATCTTAATAAAAATGAATTTAAATTTTAAAAATTAGTAAGAACTATGATTGACCTCAAAGTTTTACCTAATAACGGATTCGATTGATTATTACTTAGAAGTTTAAAAAGGGTTCATTTTCTAATTCACAAAAAAAGATGTACAGCTCAGGGTTTGGGCCCTTCCCCCCTTCCACAGCGAATTCCTGCTTACGCGCTCGATTTCAATAATTTACATTTATCATTTTAAAAAAAACAATTATATATATTGTTTTATTTTATTTTATATTTGATATGTTAATTTTAATATTAATTTTATTTCTATATATATTTACAATATTATTGCAATAAATATATTTGAAATATCAAAAAAAAAAAAATTTTATAATAAAAGTTTTAAATATTTTGTGAATTGATATTATTTGTGTATTTATGGGAAGGATATTATCTATATATTGAACAGCACTTGATTTAGAAATTCAAGTTTTAAATTTTATAAAATACTGACATATATATAAACACTAAAAAAAACTGCTGGTTTAAATTGATCAATAACTATTTTAGGTAATTAATTTTTTCAACAAATTTCACGAGTAAGAATTTATAAGTTATTACTACAATATTTTTAAATTTAGTACTTAAAGCCCCAAAGTAGAAAGAAATTTTTATCAAAAATAAAAAAAAATACCGGTTTTACAAAAGTTATATAATATATAAAAAGAAATAAGTTAATCATTATTGTACAAGTTAATTAGTAATTTATAAGTCAAATAGGAATTGCTTGAGCCTCCATTTGTTTTAATTAACAATATTTAAAACCTGCAGGCCCGACCCGGCGGGCCTAAATTTTTAAAAAAATGCCCGAACCGAGACGAATATTTTAAAACCAAATATTTCAAACCGCCATTATTAACTATAAAAATTGAAAATGAATGTAATATGTTTTTAAAAAATCCCACCGAAATTTTTTTTAAGGCCGGGCCCTGAAATAGTATTTCTACAGGTCTCTGATTTAAATCTCAGCTTACATAAAAACTTTATCTGAATTAATATTATTTAATTGACATAATTTTTACTTGGGCCACACATCTATCCATATACAATGATTGTAGTATAGAAAAAATGATTAAATATTTTGTAAGGTAGATAAAACATATAGCATTCATGTTATATTTTGTTTCTTTTATATAGCTTTAAAAAAATATTTTATTTTTTAATTTTATAATAAGTGTTTAAAGAAACCAGGAAAAGTGATGCTATTTATATTTAATTTATTTTTCAGACTTTCTTTAAATAATTTTTTTTTACAAGTCACAAATCATATTTTAATATAATTATAATGTAATTCGGTGAGTTTGTCGTAGGTAGTATATTAACTATATTTTTTTTAAAAGAGAGAAATCGATTAATTTTTAATTTGAATTTATTTAACTTTAATTAGATTCAATTTAACCATTTAATTATATTCTTAAATGCATAATTAAATAATGTTGGGTTATTTTATTACATCGATTTTAATTAAACCCATTGAAGCAAGATCTTTGTTTTGCGTTCAAAAATTATTATTGGTGGATTTCTATCTTAATTTATGAAAAACATAATATATTTCTGGTTAAACCAATGATTATTACTTGTTATGTTACTATAGTTAGATGATGTAATTAAATATTATTTTTTGTTATTAACTAAAGTGAAAAAAATAAGGTTATGAATAAATAAACGATACACTAATGAGTATTTAATTAACGGAATATTAATTGAATAATTAAATGTTTAAGGGAGGAAGGGAGGAAGGAAGGAAGGAAGGAAGGAAGGAAGGAAGGAAGGAAGGAAGGAAGGAAGGAAGGAAGGAAGGAAGGAAGGAAGGAAGGAAGGAAGGTAGGTAAGAAATGGAATAGAATAGAGGGAATGAATAAGTAATCATTATATCGGATAATCGTTATCTTTGATTAATTGTTTTACCTAATTTTTAAAACCTTCTTTCCATTGAAGTAATAACTGACACCTTGGATTTTTGAATTACCATTTTATTTGTAATTTTATAAAATATTAAAGTTCCATTTCAATATAAAAATAAATTTAATTTAATAAATATAGTAACTTTGACTTTAAACACGTACGCATGATAATGGTTTATTAAAACTGTCAAATTCCATTTTTTAGGTTTATATTATATGAAAATTTATATCTTTGACACTGTCATATTTATGCGTTATCAAAATCATAGAGAATACAAATGAACCAATTGATCACTTTTTAATTATAGTTAATGAAAAAAAAAATACATTGAGTTTTTGAAATCATGTAGAATTTGAGTTGAGAACAATTAAATGGCACTATACCACAAACTTCCGTATATATTAAGTTAATGTTAATCATTGTTTAACTATGAAATATGGTTAACAAATTATGAATACGATCTTAATTTTGAATTAGATTCTCATGAATAGATTAATTTTTTAATTTTTAGATAAGCTATTAAAAATGTTATAATAGCAATATAAATTTGTGGTTATAACGGAAACTAATAATTAAAAATATAGTTAACATTTTAACACTGAGGTCATCATTATATCATATATATCTGCAGAAACTGAATGGGGTGTCATTTACCCCATTCTCAAAATCACCCCCCCCCCACCTATACTCAGAAAAATATTGCAATTTATAGAATTTGAGGGAATTTGCAGAAAACTTTGATAATTTATCACCCTCTAAATTTGTAAGATTTTATAAATTATTAGAATTGACAGATTTATTGCTTAAGTAAAAAGGGTATCAATTCAATTGGAACCGGGGCTGTAAACCCTCTTTCTAAAAAAAGGGTTCGGGTTAAATAGAAATCTCTGAACCGGGATTAGGTGAGTTCAAGGTTGGGTGTCCTGAGAAATTAAAATAAAAAATAAAAATGATTTTTATAAAAAATGTTTCTAATATTGAAAATAAAAAAAAACAATTAATTTTAAAAATATTTAAATATGTTTTTTATATTATATAAATATTTTACGTTTTTTTTAAAATATATATTTTTTAATAAAAAAAATAATAAAAATAAAGAAAAAAAATTAATAAAATTTAAGTAAATAAATTCTTGAACCCTAGGTTCGGGGTTTTGGTTCATTAAAATATCAGAGTTTGAATGGCTCTGGTTCATTGGTTCGGATTCACATCCCTGTGGTAACAGTGCATGCAGTACATGCATTAAATATATGTTAAAACAAAAAAAAGTTAATATATATTTTAAGAAGAAAGACTAAAATAAAATAAAAAATAATATTATAAACGATGGTTAGGATAGGTGGAGCATGAACTGATAATAAATAACCGGCAAATTTCTAAACCAATGTTCTGGCGAATATAGAAATATTCTTTAGGATCGCCCCTGAGAGGTAATTTTTCTTCCTGTCTTCTTCAGGAAGGTAAGTCTCGTGGCCGAAGTATCCTAGGGTTGTTGTGACAACAGGAACAATGTAATATTTTTTAACTTTGAATATTTGTTTTTTTTATAATATTTCAGCCACTGAAGAGAGTTTTCGTGGGTGTTAAATTTAGCAAATATATCTACACAAATGTAATAGGATACCCCTTCCCATTAAATTAAGCTTAAAGCAGGCCATAGTATTAAGATAAGGGCTCAAGGGTACTTGGTATGTTGGCTCTTCTGTGATAATTGAATATTATATTGTTAACTGCACTATGCTTAGATTGGCAATTGGCGGCCTTTAGAGAATTATCATTGAAATGGACGATGTTTATTTTTTTCAACTCTGATGTTGCAAGAATATAAACGATTTATGCAATTTTTTAACAAAATATACCAAAAATTTAACTCCCCCCCCCCCCTAATACCTGTCAGGGCTAACACATTCAAATATACAAAATTTATAAATTATAATAAATAAAAACTATTTATTAATATATGTTATAAAAATGGCTAAATGAACGACCATCAAAATTTATTATAATAATATTTAAAACATTTTGGATACAAATGTTTCTAACCAGCTCACGGAACATTTTAAAGATTCGGTTCAGTTTATGTGACAAAACCTTTATCAGTTCAGGTTTAGTTTAGATTCACTAAATAATAACTGTTAACACTGGTTTATGGGTTTCTTTTCAATTTAGTTTTATACACCTGCCCAGTGCCCTCCTAAAAAATTTATATATGGACCTGCTAACTACATAATTTAACTTTATTATTCCAATACTAAAAATAAATTCTACGATAATAATTCTGAAATAAAAAATTGTCAAAAATATTCTTGGTAAAACTGAAAATAATGTAATTTGCAATTCAAAATTTTCTTAGGATAAAAAACACTACTTTAAATGTTCCATACTAAAATTTTTTTAGAAGTATAATTAACTGGATGTTAAACTATTTAGGGTTCGTTTATATTTGAAAAATATAGGTCTTTAATCTTGATATATTCTCGCAACGATCTCCAGTGCTGTCAAACTGGTTATGTAGGGCTAGAGGTAATGTTTATAGTTAGACAGATATTGACTAGTGTTATTTTCTAACAGGCTTGTGAATCCTTCGACAAAAAAAAGAATCCGGTTCAGGAATAAAATTTAAAAAATGGATTCGGTTCCAGGGTCCGGGTTTAGAGAACATAAAGAAATATTGTCTAAAAATAAAATAATTTTTTTTTCATTTATTTATTTCATAATTTACAAGTAAGAAGTTTAAAAATAATTTATAGCATATTTTAAATGTTTATTTAGTAGCACAATCATAGCAGCTTCTAAAATATCTTCTCTGATATTTTCACGCAAATAAGACAATATGAATTTCAAAGAAGAATATGCACGTTCTATGCTAACCTAAAATAAATAGCTATCTTTATAATACATTATAAATTATTTCTAGTACACCCATGACGATTCTAGATAAGATACATAGTTCTGAATATATTTAAGAATTTTTTTCCCAGAATATTAAAATATATGCATCCTTATTTATTTTCTTAACCTGTGAGAACTTTTGGATTAAAGATGTAATAGGAATTTGTGGTTTGGAATTTTTAATTTTTTTCCTCTATCTATAAGTAAATTTCTAAAGTCATCAACTGTGTTATAATCATCATTGATACAAATAGTAGATATGGTAGTAGCCTCCAATATATTGTAAAGAATGGAGTGTTGCATATGTCATAATTCTTTCAGATGATCTTTAGCCATCCGTTTTGCCCAATATAGAAATTGATATCAAGGGTCTAAATATATAAAGTCACTACATTACACTTTTGCAAATAATTTTGCTCTCGAATTTTTATGTTTTTGTTCTGATTGGTTGCAAATCTTAACGTTGTTATTTTCAGAGGTTCCAATGCACTAGTAAAATCCTTTATATGATTCCAATCATATTCAGACATTTCACATGTGACTATAAAATCTATATAGAAATCTTTAAAACTCAATAATCGTTCTAATATCATAAAAACTGAGACCAGCGTGTTGTGCAATTCAATATTGGCACTGAACCTTTCATTATTTTTAACAATTGTGTTTTAAATATTCAACAAATATTCCCTTGCTTTGTCTAAAATAATTTTATCGTGATTATTTTTCAGGGAATCATTAACAGGTAACTGGAGTGCACACCTGATGCAATACACATTGGTGGTTAAATTTTCTTTCATCCCCTCTAAATTGATTCTTCATTGTCTTCATTATTATTAATATCATCTTTCTTTTCCAGTGAATATTGATTCAATAATTTAATTGAATCACATGTTTGTAATATCATTATTCTAATATTCAAAAGTTGCACTCTCTTTGACCTCCTTCACAACTAAATTTCTCAATATTATATTATTTCCTTTTATATATTGTATATTTATTCCTAGAATATTTCTTAGTAATTTTTTTGGCCGAATCAATCTTTAAAGAAATTAATTTATTCTTTGTTTATCTTATCATTTTGGCTTGAAGTTTTTTGACTCCTCAACTACTAGGTCTCAAATCTTAAAATATGGGATCAATAATTTTTCTTTAAACAGAATCATAGTATTAAAAGGTCTTTAATTTATTTAACCAATTCTATCAAATCATTCATCAAATTCTCCTCAGACATTAGAATATGAATACTTTTTATAAAGCAAAATTTTTCAATATTATTTTCATTCTACTTTACAACTGTATTGAGACTGACGCTAGACTTTGTAAGAGTGTCTTCTTCCAAAAGTTTGGTTTTTTTATTTATATAGGGGAGACTGGGGCTAGTCGAACCAATTTTTGCAAAATTGGCTATAACTCCTGTGTTTTTTTTAA